ATCCTGTTAGAAATAGTCCGTGTTCCCCTTACTTTGGAAAACTACTTGGTTACTGAGCTACCACGGGCCACATCCGAGCCGAAGTTCTAGGTTATATCCATAGATGTTCCTTGGTTGAGTGTCAGTCTCAGAAAAGACCCTGTGCCCGGATATATTTGGTCCTTGTAGAGCTCCTATCCTTTCCATATCATACTAACTTCCCTTCTTTCATGTGATTCCCTGCACTCTGCCGAGGGTTTGGTTATGAGTCTTAGTGTCTGCTTTGAAATACTGCTAGGTAGAGTCTTTCAGATGCCTTTTGTGGTAGACTCCTGTCATACGTTCAATGCACATCCCATTTTTTTTTGAAAATATTTTCCAGACCTTTGAGCCTGATGTCTTCTTTTTCTTCTACTCCTATTATTCTTAGGTTTTGTCTTTTCATGGTGTCCTTGATTTCTTGGGTGTTTTGTGTTTGAAACTTTTCTGATTTTATTTTTTCTTTGAGAGAGGTGTCAATTTCTGCAAGTGTATCTTTGCCTCCTGAGATTCTTTCTTCCATCTCTTGTATTCTGTTGGTGATGCTTACCTTTGTAGTGCCTGAGCTTTTCTCTATGTTCTCCAGCTCCTGGTTTTTCTCTATTTGTGTTTTCTTTATTGATTCTAATTCTGTTTTCATGTCTTGCACCATTTCCTTCATCTGTTTTGAATGTGGACTCCTGCTTTTCAATGATAGCTTCTATTTTTTTGTCTGTTTCCTCTGTATGTATCACTAATTGTGCCTCTACTTCTTTGGGTATAATTGCCTGTATTTCTATGAGAGCTTTGTTTATTTCTTATTTATTTGCCTTCATTTGTGTGGACATTTCTTTGAGAGCTTTGTGCATTTGTTCTCTGTTTGCCTCAATTTTCGTGGTCATTTCTCTGAGAGCACTATTTGTTTCCTCTTGGTTAGTCTCGATTTCTTTGGTTATTTCTCTGAGGGCTTTGTTCATTTCATCTCTATGGGCCTCTAATAGCTGGAAAAACATAGTTTTGAGGTCGCTTTCTTGTATATCTAGTGAATTGAAGTGTCCATTTTTTTGTGGGGTTGCTGGTGAGGTCATTATGTCCTGATTATTGTTGGGAGTGTTCTTACATCTGCCTCTAGCCATCTGGTTATTTATAATCCTCACTGGTTGTTCCTCAAGATTGTAGTTTGGGCTATGATCCTCTCTTTCTGTTTTCTGGACTGTTTTTTCAGGAAGATGAGAGTGGTTCACTGCTTTGGGAGTGTGCACTGTGTTTTCAGTTTTGCCTAAGTAAGGAATGTGAAGCTGGCGCTATTCGCGTGTGCTTTTAGCAGGCGCAGTTGCATGAGCGGCTTTTCTGACTATTGCAGTGGCCTGCAAGCTACTATTACGCAGTTCTGATTGAGATCCAGGGACTGTTTGCCTGGATTACCCTGGTGGACCCGCAAGGCAGAGGCTTCAATGTTGGGGTCACTATCCCAAGAATCTTTATGATGCCCACACTAGGGGTGTGAGTAGCAGGGATCTCGTCTGGTTGCTTCTGTGGAGAGGCCCTGGGTCTGGGGCAATCTCTCCCTAGAAGGCTCACTCACTCTCTTGCAGGACCAGTTGGAATGCACAGGGGTTCCCTTGCTCACTATTCTCTGTTTTGATCCTGCTTCGGAAGTGCACGAGTAGGCTAACAGTCAGCTCTGTGACACTGTGTCCGCAGGACTTGGTGTCCACCTTTCCTGTGTGCTGCCTCTTTGTCCTTTCCCTCTGCCAGGAGGGGTTATGTTGACTGGTCCCTGGGTGGCACGGGAAAGAGTTAGGATGAGTGTACTCAATCCCAGATCCCGGGCCCAGATCTCTCTGCCAGAAGCAGCCTAGCGGTAGAATCTATGTTTGCTGATCCCAAGAGAGTACCGGGTAGGGTTGAGTGTCCTCAGATCCAGAGTGTGGGTTTCTCTGCTAGGGGCCGCTGGGTGAGCTGGAGAGAGGGTGCTGTGTCCTTGGCAGGCTGCCTCTCTGTCCTTTCCCTCTGACCTTCCCCTCTGCTAGGGCAAGTTTATGGAAGTGCTCTCAGGGGAGTGACAGCAGGGGTTGGGGCTTCTCAGTCGGATCCTGAGCCCTGAGCTGGCGGCTTTTCTCTGCTGGGGGGGTGGGGGGCGCTGGTGATAGAACTTGTTGCTAGACCTTATTTAGCTGGACCCAGGATAATCTCAGGACGTGTAGACTGACCACAGTAGTTTGTTTGCTAGGAACAGCCGGCAGCACTGGAATTCTGGCACTGTGAAGCTGCTGTGCGCCTCTTTATCCTTCTGCTCTGCTGCGGCAGGGTGATGGAGGCGTTTGGGGGAGTGTCCGAAAGGATTGGGTTTTCTCAGCCCCGATCTCGGGTTGGGGTACAGACAATGTGGTTTGTGGCAGATTCTGCTGGACACCTCCTGCCTCCTCCGTAGACGGAGTAGGGATTTTGAGCTAGGCGTGCAGCTGCAATCAGTGTGCGGTGCGGGAGCTCAATTGTGAAGGCGGCAGGTACCCGTGGTCGGAGAGACCTTCCAGGGAAAGACTGGGAGACCTGTGAGCAGTCTGGCAACTTCTTTCCTTCCTTGTGGGTTTTTTTTTTTTTTTTTTTTTTTTTTTTTTTTTTTTTTTTTTTTTTTTGTTTTTTTTTTTTTTTTTTTTTTTTTTTTTTTTTTTTTTTTTTTTTTTTGCGACTGGGACTCTCAGCCTTAGGCCTCCTCGTGCCCACCAATCAGCCTGGGAAATTGATCTTGACAAGCAGGCTTGCAGCACCAGCCCGGAGACCCAAAGCCTGCGTTATCCGGGTTCTCTTCTGGGTTCTGGCTGGGCAGCCAAGATTGGACCAGACAGATTCGCACGCCGTGAGAGCCTCCCCTCACCTGGGAAACACGATTGATCGCTGTTGTTTTAGGGCCCAGAGTTCAGTCTCCTGGTCGCTGCACGGAGTGTGTTGTCCTCCTTCTCAGACAAGGTGTTCTCCCGGTGCTGCCATCTTGGCCCCCTACTTTATGTATTTTTTGTCTATTGTGTAGTGTGTTGTTTCCCTAATTTCGTTCTCAGCCCATTTGTCTTTTGTATACAAGAGCACTACTTATTTATTTATTTTTTTCTTAGTTAATTTTGTATCCAGACATTTTGCTGAAGTTGTTTATTAGCTGAAGGAGTTCCCTAGAAGAATTTTTGTGGTCACTCATGTATACTATCATATTATTTGCAAATAGTGATATTTTGACTTTTTCCTTTCTGATTTGAAATCCCTTGATCTCTTTGAATTGTCTTTTTGTTCTAGCAAGGACTTCAATTTCTTTAGGGGATATATGACTATTAATTTATTTACCTGGAATTGATTCATCTTTGGTAAGTGGAATCACTCAAGAAAATTGTCCATTTCATTTTATATTCAAATTGTGTGGCACATAGGCTTTTTATTTAAGACCTAAAGATTGTTTGGATATCCTCAGTGTCTGTTGTTATGTCCCCCTTTTCATTTCTGATTTTGTTGATTTAGGTAGTGTCTCTTTGCCTTTTAGTTAGGTTGGTAAGGGTTTGTCTATCTTGTTGATTTTCTTAAAGAAACAGCTCTTGGTGTCATTGATCCTTTGATTTTTTTTCTTTGTTTCTAGTTTATTGATTTCAACCTTGGTTTTGATTATTTCTAGCCATCTATTCCTCTTGGGTATATCTTATCTGCTTCTTATTCCCCCCCCCCGTAGGACTTTCATCTGAGTCATTAAGTTGCTTGCATGAGATGTTTCTAATTTCTTTTTTTCTTTTTTATATTAATCACAGGTTATTTACTTTGTATCCCAGCCATAGCCTCTTCCTTCGTTCCATCCCAATCCCACCCTCCCTCCCTCATCTCCTCCCTGCCCCTTTCCAAGTCAACTGATAGGGGAGGACCTCCTCCCCTCCATCTGACCCTAGCTTATCAGGTCTCTTCAGGATGGCTGCAATGTCCTCTTCTATGGCAAGGCTGCTCCTCCCTCGGGACAGAGCTGGGGAGGGATCAAAGAGCTCGCCATTGAGTTCATGTCAGAAATAGTCCCTGTTACCTTTACTAGAGGACCCACTTGGATACTGAACTACCATGGGCTATATCCGGGCAGGGGTCTAGTGAAGGTTGTTATTGCTGTGAACTTTCCTCTTTGCACTGCTTTCATTGTTTCCCATATGTTTGGGTATGTTTTTGTCTTCATTTTCATTGAATTCTAGCAAGTCTTTAATTTCTTTCTTTGTATCTTTCCTGACCCAGATGGCATTGAGAAGAGAGTTGTTAAGTTTCCAATTGTACGTAAGCTTTTTTATATTTCTGTTGTTGTTGAGGTCCAGCTGTAATCCACGGTGGTGTGATAGGATACAAGGGATTATTTCAATCTTGTTCTATCTATTGAGGCTTGCTTTGTGACCAACTTTATGGTCTATTTTGGAGAAGGTACCATAAGGTGCTAAGAAGAGAGTAAAATATTTTGTGTTTGTGTGAAAGTTTCTGTAGATGTCTGTTAGGTACACTTGATTCATGACATCTGTTTGAATCAGTGTTTCTTTGTTTAATTTTTGTTTTGTTGACCTGTATTTTTGTTGAGTGCAGTGTGTTGAAGTCTCCTTCTGTTATTGTAGAGGGATCTATGTGTGCTTTAAATTTTATTAATGTTTCTTTTACAAATGTGGATGTCCTTGTATTTGAGGAATGGATGTTGAGAATTGTTATGTGTTCTTGGTGGAATTTTTCTTTGGTGAGTATGAAATGAACTTCCCCATCTCTTTTATTATTAATTTTGTTTGAAAGTTTATTTTATTAGATATGAGAGTGGCTAATCTGTCTTGCTTCTTTGGTCCATTTGCTTGGAAAATCATCTTCTAGCTCTTTACTCTCAGGTAATATATATCTTGTGGCTTAGGTGTGTTTCTTGTATGTAACAGATTGTTGGGTCTTTTTAAAAAATCCATTCTGTTATTCTATATCCTTTTATTGTAGAGTGGAGTCCTTTGATGTTGAGCGAGATTAAAAATATGGACCTCTTCATGAAATTGCATGTCATCCTTGTTCAGGGGCCATGCTAATCACCTCTGTATCACAATTTTAGTATATGTGCTGCCGAAGTGAGTAATACATAAACCTGCTTAGAGTAGGTGCATAGCTTCATGTAAATCCTGATATGTTACAGATATACACATCACTCCAGACAAAACTTTGAAGCAACACTGGATAACCCATGACTAATAATTTTTAGGGTATATTACATTATTGTATAAGATGTTCCTTGGGATTTCTGTAGCAATCCAAAGAGACCACTAGAGATGAGCTCTTCTTAGGATCGATCATTTTTAATCACTTGTGAGTTGAAGTCCCAGATTATACCAGTACTGTGCATACATGTTAGCTATATCAAGCTGTCATAATAAAATACAAAAGACTAGGTTAATTAACAATAAAAAGTAGTATTAGCTCAGTTCTTAAGACACAGAGTCTGCAGGGATGGCTCCTTTTGAAGCTTCTGAATAGACAAATTCTTTGTGTTTCTTACTAGACTTCTCTTTATACATACTGTGTCCTAAATTCCCCCTTATGACCTGGAGAGGACAGAAGCTCCACAAGGACCAAATATATCTGGGCACAGGGGTATTTTATGAGACTGTATCTCCAACCAAAGACCATGTATGGATATAACCTAGAACCCCTGCTCAGATGTAGCCCATGGTAGCTCAGTATCCAAGTGGGTACCCTAGTAAGGGGAACAGGGACTATTTCTGACATGAACTCAATGGCTGGCTCTTTGACCTCCCTCTCCCCGGCCCCAAGGGAGGAGCAGCTTTTCTAGGCCACAGAGGAGGACAGTGCAGCCAGTCCTGAAGAAACCTGATAAGCTAGAGTCAAATGGAAGGGGAGGAGGACCTCCCCTATCAGTGGACTTTATAAGGGGCAGGGAGAAGATGAGGGAGGGAGGGTGAAGTTGGGAGGAAATGAGGGAGCAGGCTACAGCTGGGATTCAAAGTTAATAAACTGTAACTAATATTAAGAAATAAAATAAATTAAATTAATAAAAACAAAGATTCTTATCTCTGGTTTATTTCCTCTCCTACCGATCACTGTTAATAGAGTCATTTTTATAAAGATCCTAATACCTTTCCTCCATGGATTCTGTACCTACGGATTTAAACCTCCAGGATTGAAAATAGTGGGTGAAGATGTGTCAATACTGAATATCCACAGACATTTTTTTTCTGTCTTTACTCATGAAAAACTACAGAAGAAAGACTATTTACATAGCATTTACAGTGTATTCAGTATTACAGGTAATATAAATAATAATTGAATACAGTAAAGTTGTATATGGGCTCTAGTTGAACAGTATACTGTTTTATACAAGCGGTTTGCATTAGTACTTCTACTGACAACAAAGTTTATATATTCTTTTTTTAGGTATTTTTGTTTTTAAGTAAATTATTATCTTTGAGATTTATGGCACAGTGTTAAAGAATAAAAGAAAATAGTAGCTACAGTGAAATCTTTAACTTATTTATCTTCAAACATCATTGCTTTTTATAACAGCAGTTGAAATATCCATATTAAATGAATTCCCCATATACAATAAAATTTTGACCATAGTCCTCATGATTGAATTTATTTTTTTCTTTTATTTTTTTTAAATTTAAATTTATTTTTATTATTTATTCAATTTATATTCTGATTGTAGCTCTTCTCCTCCTAATCCTTCCCTCCTTTCTCTTCCCCCCCAACACCTCTCCCCTCTTCCTCAGAAAGGGGTGCCCTCCTACCCTACCATTTGACCACATCCTACCAAGTATCATTAGGAGTGCCTGTTCCTCTTCCTCTGTGGCCTGTCAGGGACTCCTACCAGGAGGAAGTGATCAAAAAGCAGGCAAGGGAGTTCATGTTATGACAGGATTTCAGACAACTTATTTAATATGTTGTTTAATAAGCTTTAGTCTCTGTAGACTGCTATACAAAGTATATATTCTTAAGTACTTTATGTAGCCTAGTACTTTAATATATTGACTGGGTGGTTGATATCCAGTTTATTATTGCTTACATTTCTACATGCAATATTCCTGTAGCCCCGAATTGTCCTACGGTACATCCTACCCTACAAAATGTAAGATTTTTTTTCTTCTTTTTCAAAATGTAGATCTTGTTCTTTTTTACCTAATGTCTCTGCTATCATCTTTCTTCATTCTAGTTGTAAAATATTTACAAACCCTAACTCTTTGATGTCACACATCCATGGCCTCTTTTTGACCTCTTTACTCTGAAATACAACTCATTCTGCTTTGCTTTAGTTTAAAAGTCTATGTGCATTGGGCACATGAGCTTTTCAGCACAGCCTAAACTAAAAACACTCTAATATCATCCTTAAATCACGTTTCTGATTATGATTCTCAGTTTGAGATTTGGGAAATGTGGTCACTGTAGAAGCAATTCCTCTTTACAGGCATATGCATAATTATGTATACTAATGTATCTCTAAATAAGAATAATGAATGATAATTAAGATATTACATTATGCACAGGTGCTCTCATTCTCAAAACTCACATTCAAAATGCCAATTGTTTCTTTTTTCTTTTAATTTTTAATTTTAATTAATTATACTTTATTCACTTTATATCTCCCCATAGCCCCCACCCTCCTCCCCTCCCAATTCCACACTTCGTTCCTCTTCTCCACACATGCCCCTCCCCAAGTCCATTGATAAGGGAGGTCTTCCTCTCCTTCCTTCTGATCCTAGTCTATCAGGTCTCATCAGAAGTAGCTGCACTGTCTTCCTCTGTGGCCTGGTAGGGTTGTTCCCCCCTCAGGGAGAGGTGATCAAAGAGCAAGCCAATCAGTTCGTGTCAGAGACAGTTACTGTTCCCATTATTATGGAACCCACTTGGACACTGAACTACCATGGACTACATCTGTGCAGGGGTTCTAGTTTATCTCCATCAATGGTATTTGGTTAGAGTATCAGTCTCAGAAAAGACCCCTGTGCCCAGATTTTTGGGTTCTGTTGCTCTCCTTGTGGAGCTCCTGTCCTCTCCAGGTCTTATTATTTCCTACTTCTTTCGTGAAATTCATTGCACTCTGTCCAAAGGTTGGCAGAACAACAACAGCACAGGCTCTAAAGGCAACAATCAATAAATGGGACCTCATGATATTGTAAAGCAAAGGACGTTGCAGTCAGAACAAAACAACTGCCTACAGATTGGGAAAGGATCTTCACCAACCCTATATCTGACAGAAGGCTAATATCCAGTATATATAAAGAATTCAAGAAGTTAAACAGCAACATATCAAATAATCCAATTAAAAAGTGGGGTAAAGAGCTAAACAGAGAATTCTCAACAGAGGAATATTGAAGGGCTGAAAAACACTTAAAGAAATGCCAATTGTCTTTTAACAACAACAAAAAAGATTCATAACAAACCTTCCTTGAACTTTATGACAAATACTTTTCTTAAGTTTTATGAAACATAAAGAGAAGAGGTATAATTGGATATATCACATTTGCTGGATTTTTCCTAGGCAGTGCCATTTTAAAAGTATGTGTCCCAGATTGGATTTTGTTATTGTAGCAGTCATTTAACCTTGAGATTTGGTTAATTCACTTTCTAAATAAAAATCCCCATTTTTGAAGGACTTGATGGAAACACTGCAGAATGAAGATTACTATTTGTCTTTTTCTAAGGTTGCTTTATTTCACCTTTCTCATTCTCACCTCTCTTTTTCATTCTTTGCTACCTGCAGGAATGAAAGCTCACAATTCCTCTGGCTTTTTGAATATGAATAAGATTTTGGAATGGGTTTATCATTAATACTAGTCCTATTTCCTGTATGCTTTAGTGTCTTTAGGACTGCTAACCATCTTTTAGCTCTCATAACCTTATTGCTGACTGCTTAGTTAAGTGATGATAAGAGAATAAAAGTTTATTGTCTTTTCACTAATGAAGGATAAAGGACATCTTATAGCATGTAATTTATGAGATAATGTAATAGATGCAGTGGGTTCTACTTCTGTATGTCTAGTGCCTAAAATACAGAGGGAAGCAGCAGAATAGGAATAAAGACAGTTAAACATTTTTACCTTTGTTCATAAAACATTTTATTAGAAAATTCAGATATATAACAAAACTAAAATAATCTTAAAGTGACTAACAGCAAAGTATCTCTGAACTATGAAAACAGCCTTTTCTTTTCAGTTTTCCTAGTGCACTATGGTTATATAAGCATGGGTTGGTGGTATGGTGTTCTCTTTTTATGTGTGTAACACGTAACTAAGAGAAGCATCTACCTTTTCAGGAAACACATATAAATACTGTATATTTGGGGAAATTTCTATAGCTTATTAGGTGCATAAAGACTATGACCACTCCCTTCCCCTGCTTCATAATTCTTGAACTGTCCTCTTCCACATGCATGCATTCTCCTCACCTCCTCTGATTCTAATTTGAGAACAAGAAAATCTAGACCACAGGAAATACTCAGCTGCTGCCTACTACAGATAGTTTAATGAAGCATGAAGTATGTTATTAAATTTAATTTTATTTATATATTTATTACAATTTATTCACTTTTTATCCCCAGTACAACCCCCTCCCTTGTCAGTCCCACCCAACCTCCTTCTTCTCCATCTATACCCATTCTCTAGTCCACTGAAACGGGATGACCTCCTCCCCTTCTATCTGTCCCTAACTTATAAGGTCTCAACAAGGCTGGTTGCATCATTTTCTCCTGTGGCCTGGCAAGGCTACACCCCCCAGGGGGAGGTAAAAACAGACCCTGTCACTGAGTTTATATCAGAGACAGCCTCTGTACCCCTTACTAGGGAACTCACTTGGAAACTGAACAGCCAATGGGCTTCCTTTGAAGAGGGGTTTTAGGTCCTCTCCTGCATGGTCTTGGTTGGAGTATCAGTCTCTGAAGTCCCCCTTGGAACCAGGTACTTTGGCTCTGTTGTTCTCCTTGTGGAGTTCCTGTCACTTCCAGATGGTTCTATCTCCCTCTTCTTCCATAAGGATTCCAGCACTCTTCCAAAAATTTGGCTATGAGTCTCAATATCTCCTTCCATACCTTGGTTGGTAGAGTCTTTCAGAGGTCCTTGTGGAGGGCTC